TAAATTATTTTATTTTTTGAAGCGGAATTTGCTAACTTGTCATTAATTCCGGCATTTTTTGAAATTGGGACCGATAAATTTCTTCATGGGGTGAACTTTGCTTCTAGTGGCTCAAGGTTGTTTAGTAGAAACCAATCGCGGTATTGTAAGTAACTTTTTTTTTCGAAAATCATTTTATTATCTTTCGTATTATATTCTTTTCATTTTTGACATCTCTTTAATACGTATAACTAATTTATCTATGAAAATGTACAATTTTTTCCAACGAATGTAATAAAATTAATTTTCAGGTTATAGATCTTCAGTTAACACATTTCAATGAAGTGGTTGAATTGTTGGTGAATAAGTTAGGGTCACAACAGTCTCAACAACTCCTGATTGATACTGTATACATGTTTAGCACGGGAAGTAACGAGAACAATTTTCGGAGATGGTATTGGGTAATTTTACTGCTATTTTACAGGTAATAATTAATTTGTTAACTAGTATTGGCAACATTAATTAGATAAATTTGATTAACATTGTGTGAATGAATATTGTAGCAGGCAATTTACAATAGAGGAAGAAAATTTATCATATTTACATTGCCCCCTTAAGGTTGTTCCCCAAGTGGAAGGGCATTTAATGCTCAAATAGGAGGTAAAAGTGGTGAGTGCATGCAAGAATTGAGTGGACTACTAGAGATGCACAACAATGCTCTTCCCAAAAGGCTCACACAATTACAACAAAATTTCAAAGGATTTAATTTTGCATTATTTGATCTTTACAAACTCTTTACTCAAAGAATTGATAACCCTTCCAAATATGGTAAGTTTTATTTTAGGGATAATACAAAAATATGCTCTTTTAACTTGACTACATCTTAATTTAGTCCTCCAACTTTGGGTGTGCACAACAAAACACTTAAACTTGTATAAAATTGAACAAATAGACACACACTAATATACGTAGGACTCCACGTAGGATGTGAAATTGCCACGTATAGGATGCATATGTGTCTACTGTTCAACTTTATACAATTAAGTTTAAGTGTCTACTCATGCACATCCAAAGTTGGAAGACATAAATGTCAGTTGAGGCCAAATTAAAAAGCAGGATTATGTATTATGTTTTTATTTGATGTTCATAACATTATATATTTATGTTTCAAGGGATCAATCATAAGGGTAATTTTGTGTGTTTTGTGTAGGTTTTAATGTATCAATAGAAGCATGTTGTGGGACGGGTGCATTTAAAGGAATTAATAGTTGTGGAGGAAAGAGGCAAGTAAAAGAGTATGAGTTATGCAAAAATGTGACAGATTTTGTGTTCTTTGATGCCAGCCATCCAACAGAAGCAGCCAACCAGCAATTTGCTCAACTATTATGGAATGGGACGACTGATGTCATTGCACCTCAAAATCTAAAATCTTTTATCCAACTTTAGTATTGTAACTCAATATTGAATTTGGGTATGTAAAATATACTCAAATAAATAGAAGGCAAAATTCTTCTGTTTAACCTATACTATGTATGGGAGAAATTCATAAAAGTTTTGTTTACTCTCTAGTTTCTATTTTGAAGTTTTGGGTTGACTCTCAAATTCCCTTTTAGAGTCATTGGGAAAAGAATAAGTATGTATGTACTATTTTTATTTGATTTGTAATTAGCTAAGCTGGAAAATCGCAATCACCTTCTCATTTCTCCTTTTCCTATCTCCAATTAAATAAAAAGAAGATAAAAAAGTAAATAAGATAAAAGGTTGGAAAATTGCTAAGTCCTCTGGCCACCTCATATTAAGAAATACTCCCTCCGTTTCATTTTACTTGACCCTTCTATAAAAAAAATAGATTTTTTGTTTAACTTATCCATTTTAACAAATCAAGAAAATTTTATTACTTTTTCTCATACTAACCTTACTATTAAACAACTACATAAAGTAATAGTAATCAAATTTAGATCTAATTTCAAATTATCATTATAAGATTATTTAGTAAAAATACCTCTAATTAAAATTTTGTTAAGATGTGTTACAGATCAACCGAAGAAGATTGGGAAGAAGAAGATAACATACTAAATATGGAGCTGGTTGGTAGAGAAGCAGGCTTGTCCCCAAATTCTCATGTCAAAGGAAACAAGAAAAACAAAAATGTGGTAACATTGAGCCTACTGTCACGGACTTAGAGTCTTACTAAAGCTCCGTGCGGCACTTGACAACTTACTCACGAATCTTTCACGATCTTGTAAGCTCAAGTAAGCCCTTTAAGACTAGATCGCTAAGAGAATGCTTAAGGAAAGACTTAAGAGAATTTTGGAAGAAGGTTTTTGTATTGCTTTTGGAGAATGCTTTACACTTTCTTGGTGCCTAGCAAATGAGGGGCACCTCTATTTATACTAGCACCTAGGGACTAAAGTGCAATTTAAATTTACTTACAAGTCCCTAAGATATTTACACTTTGGTCCTAGCTCTAGAACTCTCTACACACTCTAGGACCTTCCATTGCCTTCTAAGTCATTCTAGAGAATTCTAGGGAATTCTCTAGCCTTCTTGAATAATCTAAAGGGTTCTAGAGTCTTCCGGAAACCTCTCTACAACTCTAGACCCTTCCGCCCCTATTCGGACGCAAAATTCTACTGCGAAGTGGCGGGACGTGACACTACGCACTATAAGAAAATTACTGATTACTTGGGGATTTTTCTAGGAATAATATAGTAAAATTCGCATGTAATTCAATTACTTGCGAACTTTCTGGAAAAATGAAATCTGATGGAAAAACCTTCGTAGTAACTCTTACTTGCGGATTTATACAAGCCCTAGGTAATTTACTTAGGGAATTAAAATCCGCATGTGTTACTTGCGGATTTATCTGCGATAAATATAAAAAATTCTTGCAAATTTTTTACCAAAATTTCTTACAGATTTTCGTAGAAATATTTCACAAGCAATTCCCAAGTAAATATGTAGGAGTTTGGAGATATTTTTTTGTGAAACAAAAGGAAATTTCTTGCGGATATATATATATATATATATGAAAATATTGCTCAAGATAATTCCTATGAAAAGAAACCCGTAAGAACTAACAAAAAATACAACTCACATTATATCACTTTCATTCAACAAAAAACAGAACTCATAATTCCTACAAAAAGAAACCCGCAAGATCAATAGTTTATGATTCTTAAACGGTCAAAAACAATATACAATTCAAATTTGAATCCTAAATAGTACTATCAACTATTTCAATCCTTAATATAGTCACTTTCATTCACACTATCAGAGTCATGGACAAAACCACTGTCATTCACGCTATCAGAGTCATCACCACTTTCATCCTCATAAGCTTGATTGTCTTCTTGAGATGATTGCACATTTGAAGATGATGCATTGTATTCATGCTTCTTCAATAAGTCTAATTCTTTCCTCATCCTCTTATTTTTGTGACGCTCTTTCTGCAATTGAGCATATAAGTCAGCATTGGAAGCATTTACCTGAGCTTTAATCATCTCATCAGTTTCTCTCGATAAAGCCGATGTTGATTGTTTAGATGATGCCTTCACAGATTGACCCAGGGAGCCAAGACCTTTAACTCTTCCTTTTTTTCTGTCCACCAACAGATTGCACCCAGATATCCATTTTTGTTAATTGAGAAGGTTGACCAGCTGAATTAGTTTCTCCTTCCGCAGTTGATGCACTTTGAGAAGCTAATAGTTCTTGTTTCTTTCTTTCAAAATTATTCTGCATCAAAACAGGTTATTTGAGACAATGTTTAAAGGCAATTTTTTTTTATAAGGGTAAGGTTGTATTCATCAGCATTAAGGACATGACGGAGACCTCCAAAAGATTTACATTTCAATCTACGACAAAACAACTAATAGATTACATATTTCCTATGAAATCTATAATTTGTGCATTCTGATCTATTCCTTCTTATTTACACCAAAAATAAAAGGTTGTCATACACAACCATTTAACCTTCTCAAAAGTATTCCCCTTGTTTTTAAAGCACCTATTGTTTCTCTACTTCCATATGGACCACCATATGCATGATGGAATCATACTCCACCATTTTTTTTGAGTTTTACTCTCCCCCCCCTTTTTGATCCAGCAACTGAGTAAATCTGTTGTGTGTTCCGGCATAGTCCACTTTATTTGTGTTAGGCCCAAAAATAAGTTCCATAATAATGTTGTCACTCTGCAATGTAGGAACAAATGTATACTAGTTTCCACAACTTCATTACATAGAGAGCACCAAGAAGCAATCTGAAAGCCTCTCTTCTTTAATCTTTCATGAGTGGAGTAACGTTTCCTTGCCACCAACCAGGAGAAACACTTCACCTTGGTTGGTACCTCGGTTTTCCATATCTGGTTCCAGGGACCAATCTTACCACCTTGCAACTCTTTCACTTCCTTGATATATAATTTGTTAACTGATAGCACCCCATCGCTCCTATGTCTCCATCTGATAGAGTCTTCGTCCATTGATTTCCCTGTAAACCCATCCAATATTTGTAATAAAGCAATGACTCTCCCAATCTCCCAATCATTAAGGAATCTTCTAAACACAATGTTCCATCCCTGTTGGGACTAAACATCAGCCATTGTCTCTTAAGGTTTGGAAACAAGACCATCAGTGACTTATTTCCAATCCAATTCTCCTTCCAGAATGAAGTCTTGGTTCCAGATCCCACTTTATAGTCTATATTTCTGATTAGATTGGGCCACAAATTTATGATGGTTCTCCAAACTGAAACTCCATAGGTGCCGTTCACTAAGTTGGAGCACCATTTCCCATCCATACCGTATTTGTTTACTATCACCTCTCACCACAAAGCACGTGTTTCCTTGGTAAACCTCCATAGCCACTTTGAGAGAAGAGATGTATTTTGAATTCTTAGATTTCTTATTTCAAGTCCACCTGGTTGCTTGTGAAGTTGTACAACCTGCCATTTAACTAAATGTCGGCCCTTTCCTTCTTTGTTTTCCAACCACAAAAAATCTTTTCTTAGCTTGTCAAGCCTTTCCTACACCTTAGCAGGGATGTGAAACAGTGACATTACATAAGTAGGCATTGAATCCTTTATCAAAGTAACTCTCCCTACTAATGAGATGTATTGGGCTTTCCAGTTAGCCAATTTCTTTTCAATCTTCTCAATGATGTCATCCCATATTTCTAACTCTTTGTGATTGTGTCCCAGCGGCATGCCTAAATAGGTCATTGGAAGCTGCTCCACTCTGCACCCCAAAATAGTTGCCAAATTTTGTATTTCAGGAACCTCCTTAATGGAAAATATGCAGCTCTTCCTCCAATTTATTAATAGCCTAGAAACTGCCTAAAAAATCACCAAGGTCATCCTTATGAATGAAATCTGACTTGCCTTTGCTTCACAAAATATGATTGTGTCATCTGCATATAGTAGATGACATATCTGCATCTCCTCCACTGAAAGATTGCCAATCGTGAATCCTCTTATCCAATGATTTTGAATAGCCACTTTCATCGTGCTGTTAAAACCTTACATGGATAAGATGAACAGGAAAGGAGAGAGTGGATCTCCCTATTTGAGTCCTTTTTTTGATGGAAAAAACCTGTAGGTTCTCCATTTACCAGAATGGAGAACCTAATGATTTTTATACAAAAGCCAATCCACATCAACCATTTTCCCCCAAAACCCATCTTCTCTAGAATTTTGAGCAGGAATTCTCAGTTTATATGATCATATGCCTTCTCTATGTCCAATTTACACATGATGCCAAGATCTTCGCCTTTAATTCTTGAGTCAACACATTCACTTGCTATCAAATTTGCGCCAATGATTTGTATCCTTTTGATAAAGGCCATTTGATGTTTATTGACTAGCTTGCTTATCACCTTTTTCAGTCTTTCTGCGCAATTATTTTGTAGATTCCACTTATCAAACTAATAGGTCTGAAATCTCTTAATTCAACAACTCTCACTTTATTAGGGATTAGAGCTATATAGGTTGCATTCAAACTCTTTTAAAAACATGTTGATCATGGAACTGTTGCATTATCTTCATGATATCTACTTTGATGATTTCCTAGAAGCTCTGGTAGAAACTCGTAGGGAAACCATATGGGCCCAGGGCCTTGTCACTAGCACACAACTTGAGTGCTTCTAAAACATCATCTTTCTCAAATTGTCTCTGTAACCAAACCTTCTCTTTTTTATTCACTCTTTCATATCCCTGCAAGTTGAAACCTGGTCTCCATTGCTCTAGTTCCTTATAAAGCTTTTGATAAAAGCTTACAGTCATTTGCTTGATCTCTTCTGGTTTAGTGATAGTTGCACCTTCCACTTTTAGTTTTTCAATTGTGTTCTCCTATGGGCTGTGGCAACTCTGTGGAAGTATTTTGTATTCTTATACCCTTGTTTCAACCATTGTACCCTTGACCTCTGTCTCCATGCTACTTTCTCATTCCTGGACACTTCTGCAAACTCGTTTGTGAGATTGAATTTGTGAAGTATCTCATCCTCATTTAGTGGTCTTTGTTCCTGGATTTCTTCAAGATTGGCTATCTGATTCAGAATATCTTCCTTTATATGCTTCCAATTACCTTTGTTTTTAAACCCCCATTCTTTAGTTTCCTTTCAACATCTTCAGCTTTGTGGACAACATATAGGAGGTTGTTCCAGTGACTGAAAAAGATGTCCACCATTCTGACTTTCCCTTGAAACCCTCCACTCTCATCCACCATTGTTCAAACTTGCAATATGTTTTCATTGGAGTCCATTATCCACAATACAAGAGCAAAGGGTTGTGATCTGAACCTACTCTAGGAAGAGTACTCTGTCTGATTTATGGAAACACTTTCTCCCATTGACTAGAATATAGGAATTTGTCTATTCTTGATGCCGTTATATGGCTTTCCCCCCTTCTCCAAGTAAAAGATCATCCAAATAAAGGAGGATAAATTAATTCCATCTCATTAATCCAATCAGTGAACTTTGTCATTCTCCGAGATAGATTGTGATTGCCAGTTCTCTCATTAGGATACCTGATATCACTGCACACAACCCATAGCCTAACACAAGAATCTCTAATTGTTGTTAGCTCCTTCCATAGTTCCCTTCTAATCACTATGTTACAGTCAGCATAGACATCAGTTAGAAACCAAGAAAGATTTTGTTCTATGCCTATCAATTTATATGTAAGCATTTGTCCTCCTACCTCTACCAGCTCCCCCTTCTAGTACCTCTTATCCCACATCACCGCTATCCCCCCACTTCTTCCTACAACATCTAAATGAAGTTCTCCCAAACACCTGTTATGCCACACTTTTTTTAATAAAGTAACATCCCTCCAATCAGTTTTGTCTCAAGAAAGACATAAGCATCAGCTCCCCATTGCTTAGTTAAACCTCTAACCAAGCTCATGTTATCCCCCCTCCCCCATTCAACCCTCTCACATTTCAAGATATGATTTTTATCTTCATTTGAGCATCAAGGGTGTTATTCTCCCCCTGCCTCTAGGTTCCCTATCCTTAAAATTTACATGGAATTCAAGGTTCTTGAGTTCTTTAGGAATAGAACTCTGCTTGGTGTATTTATTGTTCGCCTCTTTCTTTTGATCTAATACCCCCCCCCCCCCCCCTTTTTTTTTTTTTTATCTATCTTCATAAAGAGGTCAAAAGCTATTTTATCACATCCTTCAAAGGTTGTGCCAAACATCCTGCTGAATTTTAGAACATTGGTTTGCACCCAAATAGTAGTCTTGTCCTCGATCTCATGTTCCAACAAAGGTTCTTCCATTCGAATTGGCACCGACTCCTCATATACTGTAAGATGTCCTGCTGACAATTGACTTTATTCTTTTCCAGTCCGGTTTTCATGTGCATCTTCCATAGAGAGGGTTAGGTCATTTTCCTCTCTTCTTCCATCACTTTGCATTTAATTTCTTATGTTCTTCACTTGAATTCTAGTTTTCATGTATTTTCTTGATCTTCATTCTCATAACAGACTCCAGCTCTGTGTTATTGAGAGAATTTGGAGAAAAAAAAAGTGTATTCTTGACTTATTTGAGGGAATTTTAAAATAGGACCAACACTTTTCCCTTTAATGAAATTTGGGCTATCAGAGGTTTGGGCTTTAATAGGCCAACAACAATTCCTACAAAATTTCTTTCCTATAAAATTTTTGTGACTGTCTGGGTCCATTCCATGCATATATGTTGACACATTTCCTTCAAGGGTCATGTGGCTTCCACTAGTAAAAGTGCCAGAGTCCTTACTAAGGACCATTGGAAATTTTTTTGAAAAAGATTTTCCTATTCTGTCATGTCTCTATCAATTGTAGATTAGGATTTTCTATAGCCTTTCCTTTCTCACTCCTCATATTGTTGTCTCGATTATTGGGCTCATCCCTTACCTTCTTCAGGTATCTGGCCTAAGCTTCAACCCATAACAGCAGGGTAAATATGAGTTCACCATCATTAATCTCCACTGAAGAATCAATCTTCTCTCTCGATCCCCACACTCGGATTCGAGCCCATCGTAGATGGTTTTTCAATTGAGTTTCTTCCTCCGTTTCCATCCATCCCCCACAGAGATCTCCAATTTGTTTCATCACTTTATCATTCCAAAGTTGCAGTGGTAGACCTATGATACGCACCCAGAACCACTCAAAGTTAGTTTCTGGAAAAGCTCCTACCGTTGGTGTCCACCATCTAGAAGTAGAAGGTGATTTTTCCGACCCCACTCTCCCATGAGTATGTGCTCTGCATCTCGTCTTGATTGAAACTCAAATAGGAACTGAGTTTTATTCATGTCATAGATCTTTAGATTGTGGATGCCCATCCATGCCTTTTCCGCCCAGCTCCTAACCTCACTTCTGGTGGGTATCTCGACGCATCCTTGGAATCTTCCCGCCAAACACCTACTAAGGGGTCCTTTTTCTCCTTCAGAGAAAGCCGCCAGAGTCAAGCTCTGTTCTCCAGCATTCCATTTGTTTCTTTGTATTATTTCTTTATAACTAGCATTTTCCCTTAGTCCCATAGAAGTGAGACCTCCTTGCTCTGTAATAGAGACTTGTACTCCTGCCATTTGATTTATGAATTTGTCTATCTTTAAGACAAGTCCCCCATCCTTCATTGAATGAGTTTTTAGGTAAAATAATCATTTTTCTTGTCCATTTACTGAAGACAACAGAGATATACTTTTCATATTTATTGAACTCTAAGGTACAGTAAATGCTGGTAGTTGCATCTTTGCATTTCCAAGTCTTAAATGATTTCCCTTTAATGGATGAAGCATCGTTGAGCCTATTGCATAACCATAGGAGTGCAACCCTGCTAAGCTTCATCCTTCTCATTTGAAGCCTTGCACTCTCCACCCATTCGTACCAAAAATCTATGGTTGATCTAGTTTCAGTTAGGTCATATGATTTCCCCCCTAATCTGAAGTATATCCTTTTGTCCATGCAGATTAGAACGATGAAAAAAGAGATTCGAAAAGGGAAGGAAAACAAAAAGAAAGTTTTCGGCAGAGGAAGTCCACCGAAAAAAGGTGCCTAAGGCCAAAAGGGTCTTAGGTGAGACTCTCGGTATCCATGCCTGAGAGCATTTCCAGTCCGGGGGCAAGAGGAGTTTATGAAATGGTAGATATTGAAATCTGGAGCTTAAAGATAAAAGTAATATGATGATAACTCATGTATGTAGACTGTAATGAAACCATCATATATTAGAATATATTTATGTCCTAGATATATGAAAATATCTTCATACTAAAAAAAACAAATTTTTCTTTTCATTCAACAAAACAAGTTCAATGACCGTTTCGTCATACTCTATTTGCTTATTATTAGGATGATTGAGCAGAACACAATCTGCAAATAACAGCTGGACTCACACAAATGAAGAACCAAAGACCAAGTTAAGGCACTTTACTTTGTTGAATGATGGAGCACAAGCTGCAATCAGTGAACCACAATTGGTGAAGTTGAGTGCACTGTCTGACCAGACTAAATCTCATGTATTATAGAAAATCTTTATCAAATTTTTAGTTTTTGTAGTTTCTGAATTTTTCTTCCTCTACTTGTTGGCATTTGGAAATAGGAATGATTTCAAGGGATGACTTGTTATCCATAACACATGCTTTGCATAGATCAATTCACATTTTCCATCTTTCTGTGCCTAATTTGATTCTAGAAATTACATTCTCTAGTCAAGACTTTAGCCCCCTCTGGAGGCAACTTCATACATAGCATGGTAGCACATCTGTTTTGGGATACAAAATGTCACAAAGGTTCAAATACTTTGACATTTGATGAGTTAAATCTCATCAAGTGTGTTCACTACATTTAAAGTTAAAAGAGTATAATGCATGAAATTCAAATCAAAGCATAGAGAATTGATTTTGCATTCTCCATCCTTTTCATTTTCTATCAGAGACTCTTTTTTAATCAAAGCATGGAGAATGAATAATCACGAAGCTATTAATACGCGTTAGCATATTGCCAACGACAATCTCTTTCCAAGTACTA